ATATTACCATATTTAATTTTGTTTTATTTTCCAAAGTATACTTTGAGACTTGCTCGTTGGTTTTTTGTTGGGGGGGGGGGTTAAGAGACGGAAACTGAGGCCCAATGCTGGGATCACCCCTGCCTTTGGCCTCAATCCTCAACTCGTCTAATCTTGTATGGTCTTTTCTTGTTCCCCTTTCATTTTCTTATCTTCCCCAACTCTTCCCCTGTCCAATTCCTAAGAGAGCTGTGTTGAAAGGATGAAAGGCTGACTTTGTGCCAGACATATTCAGTCTTGAGGAACATAGTATTTCCTTGGTTAATTGTCTAGCCCTTACCCCTCATGGGGACCCTGAGGGCCTGAGGGCTAGACCTTTTATCTTCCTTATGTGTTTCAGGCTTACCATGGCCAGTAATGAAGATTTCGTACCCTTATTAGAGGCATCTAGGCTTACCCCTTTATCAACTAACTTCTTTGAATCTAACTGACTCTCCCTTGATCCCAGCACCGAACACTGCTACTACAAACCTCCCTGCCCAAATCCCCTCCAGAAACCCTTGAGGACACTGGAAACTTCCAAAGCATGACACAAAAGAAAATTCCTCTCTCTCATCCATCCTCTACTTTCTCTTCCCTCATTCTGGCTACTTTCAAGTGACTGCCGACATCCATCCATCCTCCTCCTCATATTCCCCCTGCTCACTCTCCTCCACCCACATTAAAACCCCCTCCTTCCCTACAATCCCTACCACTCCCTCCTGGTTGCACATGTGAATATATTTTGTCCTCCTACATCTCGGACATCCATCTCTACCCTTATCACCTGTTGATTGATCCTCAGTGACTCTCCTACAGTGGAACAATTTGAGTATTTCATTTTCACAGACCTGATCTTCGTCACCTCTTATCTTCGTACAACAAATCCACTATCTAACTCCATGAAACCTTCTTAACACATCCTTCAGTACTGATTCCAAATTATCATTTTGTATCATCCCCTCACTCTCTCTATCATATATACTCATCCCTCAAAACACACCATACAATGTACCTCCTTTTCAAACAACCGTCCCTTGCACAATTCTACACATCTTTCTTCGCCGTTGGATTACAATTGTTTCAGTTTACTTTTCTCCTCTTACCACTGACTTTAGTGTCTTCAAAACTTTACTTTCTCAACTTCAGCCACCATTGCCATTACATCCCGAGGGTGTTCCTTATAACGCTTTCTTTCTAACGCTGACTGTATCCTTCTTAACTCGGATTGCCCCACCCACTTCGACATACGTACTCGAACCATTTTATACTTTGACCTTTCTCCTTGCTCTCCTTCCCTTCATCTCGACTTTCATTGGTCAATTCTGGATCACTCCCCTATTCTCTTTCTTACTTCCTATGTCCCGCTCCCCAGTCGTCCATGCTGGCGTATTTTTACCTCTCTCTCTATTCTCCCTGTTCCTTTTCTTCCACATTAGACATGCTTTCTTATTTCACAGAAACTATCCCAAGTACTGTCTTTACAACCATTCCCTTAACTTCCCGACCGTACACATCTAAATGTGTTCCATAGTAGGACACTGAGACTTAACCAGAAAGATTGCCATCAGTTATAAAAGGTCTTAAAGTGTGGGTATTAATCCGTGACATATACGTGAGAAACGTGGCTGGTGTGGTCTGAGCGTGCTAGAATATCTGCCTGTTCATTGCTGGGGATTCCAACTTGGCTGGGCACCCAGCAAAATATTGTTTTATATCATGTGGACAGGTAAAACAACTAGTTCTGGATCTTTCAAACAAGGGGGTGGTTGAGTGTATTGACTTTATGAGAATTAATGAATTACTGGAGTCGGTAAAAATTGTGAATGAGGAAGAATGGAGTGAGAATGTGTTTTAAGGCAAAGAACTGCGTATATTTCTGTAGTAAGGACACTGGATTCAGGAGGGGGGAGGGATTATTTGAAAGTGCGAGTTGAAGGGTTACAGCGAAACCATCAGTTTAAACATGAATACTGGAGAATGAATGGGGACATGGTCAATAAATAGGCGAGAAGGACAGCGGGGTGAATATTTGATTTTGGTGGGTCAGGGAAAACCGGAGCAAATACGGGATAAGGTATATGTCATGGAGGGACAGAATGGGCAGGGGACAGGAGAGGTCGGAGCTGAGGAAAAGGGGAATGGGAGAGGAGGGTATCCATGCGAAGGGAGAAAAGAGTAGGTAAACGTGGAGAAGAATCAAAGGTAGGAAGTTGGGATCGTGGGATAATTTAGTGAGGGGAAGTTGGTGGACTCGAGCACAGCATCGGATAAAGAGAAGGGTACGGCGTCGAGAGAGAGATGGTATGCCTGATTCAGTGTACAGGCTCTTAACTGGAGAGGAGCAGAAGGCATCTAGGGCTAAGCGAAGACCACAGTGGTGGATTGTATCAAGATGGGCAAGGAGAGAGGTTGAGGCAGAGAAGTAGATATGGCATCCATAATCGAGAGTGGAGAGGATCAAGGTAACATGAAGATGAAG